CCTGAAGGCTGTGAGGAACCCCAGGGCTCCACAAAGTCCAGGCACAGAGATCAGTGACAGGCTTCCCAACAGAGACCTGTGACCCTCATCATGAGTGGTGTCCCCTTGTCTGGGTAGAGTCTCTCCCAGCTGTCTGTTCTTTGGTGGGCACTGTTGATTCTACCAGGGTCAGAGGCAACCTCATCAATCAACCTGCCCATACGCTCTCTGAAGTCTAGCCTTGGGCTCAGCGGGTCACCCACAGAAGCCCTCCCCCCAAAAGGCCAGCTCCTGTCCCTTCTTCTTGAGATCTGAGGAACTGGCCCCAGCAGCAAGCCTTGTGCAGCTGAAGCCTGGGAATCCCAAAGGGGACACCCACTAAGAGGAAATGACTTGGCAGCCATACGTGAGCCAGAGGAGGCTGGAGTAGATGGGAAACCCTGACAAAAGGGCCAGACGATGCCTATGGCAGCCAGGGAAGCAATTAAGAAGCTAATAAAAAGGCTGAACCATTTCAACAGATTTCTTAGAAGATGTATCATAAAGAGCATAGTTTCCACTTGGCAAAACGCCTGTTCTCCAGCTCAGCCAAGGACAGGAACAGAAAGAAGAAAGAGGGTCCATGGACATGGGCATGCGCATCCTCACACATGCTGTAGTACAGGCAGAGGGCTCAGCTCATGGGAAATACCAGGAAGTGCTGGCTGGGTAGTCATCAGAGAGCAACAGCCCCGGGGAGGCCAGAAGTGAGTCACAGAGTTCCTAGACAAGCAATGGGTAGTGACTGCAGAGGTGTATTGAGGTCTTATTGCTGCCGTGTGACCATGGCTCAGTACCTAATGTCTCTGAGTATGTTTCCTGCTCTGCTAAAGCTGGGGCAGGGGTTGCATGGTGATTCCTGCCCTTCCCCACCTCCATGGTTCTGTGACAACTTCTTCAGAAATGTCCCAAGTCATCCCAATTTCTTTTTCGAGTTGAGATAGAGTCCCTGCTGTGTGGCTGCGGGAGGTGGGGTGGGTAGAGAGGGAGGAGTGAGGTGAGCAGTAGGCAAGGGTCCTCCCCATGTTTGACCCTCGTCCCTGTAGCCTCCAGCTGAGGACAAGATCAATGGCATCCTCCTGGGCTTTCGAATCCGGTACCGGGAGCTGCTCTATGAAGGACTGAGGGGCTTCACTCTTCGAGGCATCCACAACCCTGGGGCCAAGTGGGCTGAGCTCACCTGTAAGTAGCCATCATAGGGTCTTCGGGAGGGTGGGGTCGTCACGCTCTCCTCCCTGCTCTGAAACTCCCAGATTCCCTGTGTCTTCTAACCTGCAGCCCTCCCTCCCTCCCCTTCATGTTCCTTTCCCAACCCCAGTCACTCACTTGCTGAGCATTGTTGAGCACCTTCTGCATACTCCAAGACACTCTGAGCACACACCAGTGGTTAAGCAGATAGGGTCTCTGACCTGTTGGATCAGTCTGATGGAGGAAGAGTCTCGCATTCAGTCCATAAACCCCGAAACAGATGACAAAGACCATGGGCATGAGAGTATGGGAGAATGTTCCAGAAGAGTTCCAAAGGACTCTCGACATGGGAAGATGATTCCAAGTTAGGCAGGCAAATGTGTGAGGGAGGAGCCACCAGCTTAGAAGGACCATCAGTCTCAACATCTAGACCCCCCACCAAGGACAACAGTCAAGACCCCCTCCTACTTCTCAGTCCTAGGGCCAAAAAAAGCCAGCCTTCAAGTATAGTAGAGAGAAGGGGGGGGGATGCTCAGGTGGAATCCCAGGGAGAGAGGATGATGGGAAAGTCGTGAGCAAGAGGAGGGTGTGAGTGGACGCTGGGTTTGTAGGACACACCGGTGGCATGGAGATGATGACCTGGCTGTGGAAGGGGTGGAGGAAACGGGCAAGGAAACGTTTATGTTAACACAGCAGAAGAGCGTGAGGCCAAGTGAAGGAGGCAGGCTAGGTGTGCCATGGATGTAGATTCCACAGGGCTCCATCTCTGTTCAAGGAGAGGAGAGGGAGGCAAACAGGGAAGAGGAGGGCATGTTGAGGAGGAGGAGGAGGAGCACCACTGATCACCAACAGAAAAGAAAGAAGGGGAGAGGAGACAGCCTGGGTCCCTGTGGTCGGTGGCGCCATGTCCCGTATCTCCTAAGCTTGTGGAGCCTTAGCTTCCGGGGATGTTCGCAGACAGCAAAATGATGGAACATGGAGTGGGAGAATATTAAAAGAAACCCGCGGAAATACCCAATCCAACAGCTCATGTTATTTCCTCATCTTTATTTATTTATTTTGGCTGATGTCTGCCTATGGCTGTGATTTTATATGGTCTGCATCTAATTCACTCATATTTCCTGACAATAAAATTGTTTCTGGTTCATATGAGAAAACTGACAATGCCAATATTTCACCATGGTTTGCCGAGAGCTCCAAAGTGAAAGCAGGGAGCCAATGGGATGAGAGGCTTCCCCCAGAACTGTCCCGTGTCGCTACCCTCTCCCCGATTCCCATCTGTCTCCTCCATCGCCAGCTTTGTCCTCCCAGGCCTGGTTGGTTCCCGGTGGGTGGGTTGCCTGTGTACACTAACCTCTGTCTGCTGTCTCCCTGGCTCTCACCTCCTGCCCCCTAGCCTTGTACTCCATGCGGAACCTGACCCGGCCCAGCCTCACGCAGTACGAGCTGGACAGTAAGTCCCCTTGCATGGTGGTTCCTCGTGGCCCAGGGCTCCCGGGATGGGCTGGGGAGGGGTCCTCAAGAACACCTGGAGCTGGGCCAAGCAGGTACCCACTGCCCTAGTTTACCTTCTGTTGCTGCAATAAAGACTATGACAAGTGGCTGGAGAGATGGCTCAGTGGTTAAGAGCACTGTCTGCTCTTCCAGAGGTCCTGAGTTCAATTCCCAGCACCCACATGGTGGCTCACAAGCGTCTATAGTGGGATGCCCTCTTCTGGCATAAAGGTGTACATGCAGATAGAGCACTCATATACATAAAATAAATACATCTTTTTTTTAAAAAAAAACTGACAAAAAGCACCTTGAGGAGGAAGGGGGTTGTTTGGCTTACACATGCCAATCATACTCCATCGCTGAAGGAAACCATGCAGGAACTCAAGGAACAGAAGTCGGGAAGGAACATTGCTTCCTGGCTTGCTCCCCCTTGGCTTTCTCAGTCTGCTTTCTTATACTACCCAAGGGTGGCCCCACCCACAGTGAGCTGGTCCCTCCCACACCAATCATTAATCATGAAGATGCCCTCACAGACTTCCCTACAGGCCAATCTGATGCAGGCATTCTCGCAAATGAGGCTCCCTCTTCTCAGATGACTGTGTCAAGCTGACACCCACCCAGCGTGCCTGAATACTAGGACCGCCTGTGGCACACATCTTAGGAGCTTGGGAAGCAGGGCCCTATCAACGCTGAGTAGCAAAGTATAGATGTGAGTGGCTGAGGGGCCAGCAGGTGAACAGCAGGAGGTAAAGCCTACTACAGGACAGGTAGGCAGGCCTCTACTGCTATTACCTGACCTGACGCCTGTAAGGAATGTTGGCCCTCGCTGTCTCCCTAGCCCTTCTGAGGCTCCTATAGTTATGTGGCTAGCTCACCTCTGTGCCTTCTCTGTTTCTGAAGCCTCAGCGGGTTCTTATACACACACATATGAACACACGCGCGTGCACACACACACGCACACATGGCCTTCTGATCAGAAAAAGCCAACCTCAGAGTCTAGACTGCCCTTTATTCCTCAACATGAGCCTACTCCATGACAGAACTGACAGAACTGCCACTCTGGGGAACGATGGTAGGAAGGAGACAGGGAAGACAGGGACAGAGTATGGGAGGGCCAACTGGCCACCAGGGAAAGGGATCACATCTCCCATCCAGGACAACAGAACCCATTTTCTTGTAGCAGCTTCCATTCACCAGGCCTCCTCCCCCACACTTGACTAATACATGAGATTTCTTGACCCAGAATTCATGTTCCATAAGCACTTCCCCTCTAGGACTGAGCCAGTGGGGTGGGGTGGGGGTTGGGAGCCCAGCTCACTAGTAGAGCTTGTGCTCAGCCTTCGGGAGAGCCTGGATCCATCCCTGGTCCCTGAAAGAGTAGGAAAATAAAAGAGCTGGTGAATGGGGACAGGTAGGACACAGCAGGAATATGACTGAAATGGTTTGCGTCTGCCGTAGTGGGAAGGTTTGGCCCTCTGGTCCAGGGTGGCCAGGACTGTTAATATGACCCCCTTCAGTCTCAACACTATTCACTTGCAGGTGCAATGGTCTGTATGACCCTAGAGCAGGAGCCGCTTTGTGTCATAAATTCTGTTGGCAGGGTACAGCCCAAACATCTAAGGCCTCTTACCTGTTTCCTCCCCAATGCCACATAGGGCACTAAGAATGGTAGATAATCCTCCTCCCTCCAGTCAGTAGCTCTAGCCTCCACGGGCTCTATGACCTGCATTCCTGATTCCCACTCTCGCCCATAGATCTGAGCAAGCACAAGCGTTATGAGATCCGGATGAGCGTGTACAACGCCGTGGGAGAGGGACCCTTGAGCCCACCACAAGAGGTCTTTGTCGGGGAGGCAGGTGAGTCCCAGGTACTCACCCAGGGTCCCCACCCTGCCCTAGCCACCTCCTTCTTCTTCCATAGCTCACTCACCAACCTTCATGCCCTCCAGTGCCCACAGCAGCACCCCAGAACGTGGCCATTCACAGTGCTACAGCCACACAGCTAGATGTGACCTGGGAGCCACCCCCACTGGACAGCCAGAATGGAGACATCCAAGGATACAAGGTACGGGTGATGCGGCAGAGGAACCGGGGTGCAGAGGGACAAAGGGGTGGGGGAAGGGTTGGGTGAGTCCGAAGCAAACCCTTTCTGATCACAGTCCCGTGTGTGCCCTCAGGCTCCACTGCACACGGG